AATAATTCATATCTTTCTGATCCAAAATCAGTATTGTCTTAACATTTCAGCTGCATTTTCCATGGCGATCCAGCAAATAAAAACCCTAAGGATTTGGTGAGCTTTTAACAATTCAGTGCCAGATTTTCATATTATAAATACTGAGGAATCTCAAACTGATAAAGATTAAGAACTCAGGTCCACCTGGAGAACACAAATAAGGCTATGCTCTTGGTGTTTTGCCGGATTTAAAATTTCACCCACACTGGGCTGAATATTATAGTGTGACTAACAAAGAAGAACAAAGTAGCAAAAACACCGAATGCAAATGTGAGAGCTGTGGATTTGAGGTGTAAAAATACATCTGAGAACCACTCTGGGAATAGTAATTATTTTGTGATCTCAAGTTACTGCCAATAGTTTAAACATTTCCCTCAATCCCACCATTATGAAAGTTGTTTAGCACAGTCCTATTGATGGATGGATGTGTTTCATACTTCCTTTTATTGTCTGCCTTCTGGTGGAAGGACTGTCCTTTGAGATTTGATAGAGGACCCATTAACAAAAGTGGAGGCAAAAAACCTGGCTAACTGACAACCAGAAAAATGTATCCCAGTGTAATGGCTGGATCAATTAATATGGTTAATTGTTGACATGCCCATTTCTCAGGTGTAAAAGGCATTTCTTTTTTTTTTATTTATTTATTTTTCTCTGCTTTGTGACCCCTGCCTTCAGGACTTTAGAATATTGAGACTATAAATATATAAAATTCAGAAAGTTGGTGCTTTTCAGTTACACAAACGCTAACCTAAGATCACAATGTTTTGATATTATTTCTGTTTCCAAAGATGGAGACAGTGGGGGTCAGACCGGGGAAGGGAGAGAAGATTTCTTTTCCATTTGGGAAGTGACTTTTGTCAATTTCTCTATATATCAGAATCAATTACCATACTTCAGATCACAAATGTGAATTTACTAAAGATCTTAATTGTAATTTGACTTCCCATATCATTTATCAATAATCCCATTTTCTAGCGGTCATCTGAATCTTCCCCAGCTTCCCTATTTTTTTGTTGTTGTCAGATCCAAAGAGGTGAGAACAATGAAATATGAGTTTACTGCACAATTTCATATCAATAGAAGTGTACTTGGGAAGGAAAGAGTGTTTGCAAAGACACAAGTCTGAAATATTAAATAGACACTGACTTCCTTTGCGGGGAATACAATCCACATGTACAAATTAGGAAAATTAAAACCTTGACCCTCACTTTTAGGTACTTAAATAGTTATTCAAATATTCTTCTGAATATTTTCATTTAATGCAGGTATCTTTATATGATTTTATAAAGTTTCGATGCTGGTATCTCCATGTAAATGTTTAGAAAATGCAATTTTACCTGTGACTTGTTATAAAAAGTAGAGGATTCTTTTTTGAAGAAGAAGAAATGTGGGTTTTGTTAGGGTGATATTTATTTGCATGGAATCATATATTTTAAATAATTCAACAGATTTTATTTAGCTCTTTAAGGGAAGATGAAGTTAGAGATATGAAAAATCTCCAATTTTAAGATTATGAGGTATTTTGAGAGTCATACAAATTCAGTCAACAAATACTCCTTGAGCTTTCACTTTCTGCCTTGCTCTCATGGTCTAGGGTTTTTTTGTTTGTTTTTCACTCATTACATCCAGAGAAAATTTGACAGTCATTGGACTTAAAGGTTTCTAGACTATCATTAGCCAAACTCCCCCCAAAATTTAAGTGGTCCCTAAAGATGATCTGACTGAGCTATACAAATGAGGGTGATCCCTAACTGCGGAAGTGGGTGGTGGGTGTGAAAGGCAATTGGTTACATCTGACTCAAAACCAGGAGCTTTAAAGCCCATTTTGATTTAAAGAAGATTAAATAAGAAAAATAATTTCATTTAAAATTTGATGCCCACATGAAAACAAAAGTTGTTGAATAGAGCATATACTGAACTATGCAAATTTATGAAAAATATGAGCTTCTAGTGAACCTAAATAATCAGGAAAGAAGCTGTAGAAGTTAAATGCTTTCTAACTGAGACAGCTAGAAAATCCTAAACTGGCTAACAAAATGAGAGAAGAAAAGGTCATTGTTAAGTAAGATGAAACAAGGCCTGGGTAATTAACCACCTTTAGTGTATTTCCGTCAAACATCAGGCCTGGAAAAGAGTAAAATTTGAGAAACGGAGGCAGTGAGTTAGAATGTTCAAACCCAGAATTTTAACCTCAGTATTCACACAGAATCTCAGACTAATGATTTACGTCAAAGTTATCTAAATGTCACCATTATCTGTTGCTGCACGGGCAATGGAAGATTTCTCTTGAGGTAGGGCAAAACCTACCTCCAGAAACAACTGGTTTAAATTTTCCTGATTTTTAATCCAAATTGTTTTGGGAAGATGTGAAGGCTATGGAAATATTTCTCATTGAATACAAAAGAGGGCTCCATATCTCTATGCGTATAACCTTCATCAGTGTTAATCAGGCCCCAAGGGTAAAATCTCTGCTTCAGTAGGAATATCTATCTCCGTCCTGTATTAAATATTCCTCTAACATATTTCCCTGTGTATCTGAATCACTTATCAGGAATACCTTATGGAATAAATAAATCTAGAAAGAAGAAACGCTCGTTCTTCAAATGTGAGGAGTTGAATAATCCCAGGCAGAGGGGATCAATATTAGTCTCGTAGAGCTACATGTTAGCTCCTTCAGGGTGAACGCTCTGTCACCTACTTTATTTATATGCCCCTTCCCACACCCTGTTGCCGAACACAACAGATTGTTTTAAAACCTGCTTTTATCTCCCACCTGCCCCATGTAATTATATTACTCAAGAAATGCTGGCATTGAATTTCTCTCCTCTGCTTTTGAATCAGATGAAACACCTGTGCAGCCACTAAAAAAGCAAATGGACTTAGTTTGGTGCCATTCAGGTTTGGGCCTGTTCAACTTTAATACCAAATGGCAATATACCCCCACAATTTGGGGAGCTGTAGACCTTGTGAATCAGATCTGGAAAAGCCCTTTGTTTTATTACGGAGGTTGCTATGGAGATGACCATGTGTAGGAGGCAGGGAGGTAGTGGGGGAAGACAGTGGCAATATTTTGTAATGGTCAAGCCTTAATTTTTGTAAGACGACTTAAAATCAAGTTTTGAACAACAATGTTGCATATATACAGATATTACTGCTTTGAAAGCAAGATAACCAGAGAGGGGATAAACAGAAAATCCAAATTAAAGTCTAGGTATCTTAAACTATTGGCCATGAAATCAGCTAATTTAACAAATGTCTTGGGGATCATGCCATATTCATATCTGAATTCCTAAGATCTGGCACATGCTTAACATACATAGTTAACTCAAAAAATATTTGCTGAACTGAATTATTTTGGAGAGGAAATTTATTTCAGTAGTAAAGCTCCTAATTCTATTTTCCAACAGCTCATTTATGAAAATTATTAGAACAGGAAGGCCTCAACTCTAGAGATATACTGTATCCTGTCCTAGTGCTCAGAAATATTTATTGAATGAATTAATGGATGAATTAATGAGTGAATAAAAACTTGGTGCCCAAATTCTGGTATAGACTGGATGTATCTGCCCTCCAGTGTTATTAACACCTCATGTAGTACATTGAGATTATTATCTAGTAATATGAATAAATCTGACCACACCAGACCAGAGTTACTTTCCTTCTTCACAACCGAGCTCCTAAAGGAACAGGTCACACTCCAAAATGGAAATACCCTACCTATTATGTTTCTATGTAATGCTAAAAGCAGAAACCCACAGAACTTCCTGATTCAAAGCCACTTGCAAGACACCAGGGAGGCCGTCAACAAAATATTAAAAAAAATGTAAATCTTGGGTTAAGAAATGGAAAGTTTTTACTTCTGTTATTTTTTCCCACAAACCTTGAATTTCTCTAGAATTAGCAAAAGAAAATGTTGATTGGCTCACCTTTTTTTTAAAGAAAGGAAAAAAAAATAAAGTAACCCAAAAAATCAACTAGAATATTCTGTTTCTCTTAGCCTTTGCAGAAATAAGATCCTAACCCAACTCCAGCTTTTAATTCTATTAAACATACACAGAAATTCGATGATATCTGTTCTCTATTATATATATATAAATGTTTAACTTATAGCAAGTCTCAAAACAGACGACTTGGAAAAATTGATAGGAAATAATCAGGGACCGCAGTTGCCTGCTGGACATTATATAGCTCAATATAAAGAAAGACCATAAAATATCAAAATGTATCTGGGTGCGAATGGGGAACACACTGAAGCATCGAGTTGCGAAAGCCCTCTTAACTTCAGCACAGTAGATACATTTTGAAGCATCTCAGCCTTTGACATGGCATGGTTCAGTACTAATTTTGTGTTTACTATGCTATATTACTGCACAATTTTCTAAACGCACAATGAACAAAATTAGTATAAATATAATACCATGTTAACTGCTGTTGAAATCCCATGGAAAATGTGTGGGTTTTTTTTTTATTGTTGTTTGGTTTGGGTTTCTGGTTTTATTTTGTTTGCCACACAGGCTCAGAACAATTCATGAGGTTTAAATGATCTTTATAGCTCCACTTTGGGTTCATGGGGTTTTGATGTTATTCCAATATAGACATCTTCATGCCCCCACCCCCTGTCAATTTCATAGCTGCCAGGCACTGCTGTACTTTTCCTGTTCCCATAGTTAATCTGGGTGTCTGATTGCTCAAAGTTGGGTGGTACACCATGGATTTTTCTTTGGATATCAGGAGCTGATGTTAAATTTCCCTGGGATCTTATTTGCTCCTTCCATGGGATTTGATGCTTTTGATTATATATTAGTATTTATATATGTATCCTTATACATATATAGATAAAGTAAATACACACATTAACACACTATAATATATATAGAACACATGTATAGTCACATATATGTATGTATTGTTTTTTGCAAATGTAAAAAAAAAGCAAGCAAAACAAGACTGACCTAACCTACCTGTACTCGGCTCACATTCAACGAAGTCTTCGTCATCACTTGAACATTCAGCAGATGAAACAAGGTCATCTGATGTTGGCTGTGTGTGTCAAAGGAAAAATAATGGGGTAGGGGGAAGGGAAGGAGAGAGGAGAGAGAGAGATAAGGAAACCAATGAACAAAAGCATCAAAGACTTATCACTATGTCCTGCCTCCCATCATTATTATGTTTCTCTTCTCTAAAGAGGGCATGCTGGAGGACAGAGCATTTTAAACTCTTAAGTAGCTGTGAACGGCTATGGGTTCAGACAACCTGTATGGATTTTATGAGAAGCTGAATGACTCCAAGTGGTTCCAGGAGGCTCAAGACTATCCCATCTCTGTAAGTTACATTGTACAGCCTGACTATTTTGATTTTAATTTCAGTTTTGAGAATCTGAAGGGCAGGAGAAGGTATATACAAATGGTGGGCCATATAAGAGTGTAAGACAGCATGGAAAGGCACTGCAAACTTTGAGAGGGTTTCAGTGCATATGGTGTGTGGTCTCAAGTGCATGCTTTGGTGGCTGTGAATCTATAGGCAGGCATAATTAATGAATGCTGTGGAATGCAGTCTGTTCAGGAACAGCATAACGGCTTTTCTCGCTAGCAGTGATCTCTTCATATAATTGCTGCAATTAGCTGAATTAGTAATGTAGGCCAGCAGAGAAATACCACATGACAGCCTCTGGACACAGAAAGACTGTTTCTGACGACAGCAGAAAAAAATCTGGTTGCCACAGCAGTAATTCAACTTGTGACAATTTTTTTTTTTTTTCTATTGGATCCTGCAGAAACTCCCCAGTGCCAGGGAATCTGCTGCAAGAAATACAGGAAACTGGGTATGGACAATAAGAAGGGTCTTTGCTACACAGAAGATGAGAAGACTACTTCCTGTACCTGATACATACTGCATGCACGATAAATACTATTGAATAATTAATCTATAGATCTTATGTAAAAAAACAAATTTTTGTCCTACTGTGTGCATAAGACTACTCAGTATACAGTAGTTGTTCAATAAATGCTCATTTCTTTTCCCCTTCTTGATATTAACAATATTAACTGACTTGCTTGGTTTTATTATTCCCAATGCAATGAAGTCTGAATCCATATTCAAGAGGAAAAGCAATTAGAAGCCAGATGCTGAGCTAGACATATACATATATATTTGTGATAGCTGTTATTAATTGATTAGATACAATTCTCACAACAATCCTTTGGGATGGATATAATTATTACACTTTTAAGGAGAACTTAACAAGCACAGAGGGACGACTATGTGAAGGCACAGGGAGAAGAAAGCCATCCATAAACCACAGAAAGAGTTTTCAGAAAAAAACCAACCCTGCTGACACCTTGACCTTGGACTTCTAGCTTCCACAACTGTGAGAAAATAAATTTCTGTTGTTTAAGCCACTCAGTCTGTGGTATTTTGTTATAGAGGCCCGAGCAAACCAATGCACGTGACAACCCATATGCTTACCATTTCCAGACAACATCCTTTTTGAAATATACACACGAAGCATAGAATTACTGGACACGACAAAGAACAATAGAAAAGTCACACTAGGTAATTGAGTTCACTTAACTGACAGTGGTAGAGAGGTGCCTTAAACCATGTTATGGATATTTATTCTACATTTGACAGGGAGATACTTCAACCCTGCTCCTCCTCAAAGTTAACAGAAAAAGAATTTCAAACATACTTTTTTTTTTTCAATTAGACACTACCGAAGTGTGCATTTCATTTTCAGCAACCAAGGCTGAAGCTATATCCCAGAGCCTACATGATTGGTGTTAGAGACTGGGTGAGCAAACCTGCTTGGAGTTTCCTGTTGTGGCTGGGCCCTCTGCAGGCCCACGTTAAGTTACTTAGGGAAGGGAGGCGGTAGAGGAATACATGTTAACTGTGCAGAAATGCAGAAGGCAATCATAAGAGGCAAACGGCCTTTTCGGAAGGGTCGCAATCACTGTGTGATAGTTCGAAAGCATGAGTTATCCATGGACGTAAGACCTCCCTCAAGGCAGCAAAAATTGTTTTAGGTGTGTGGGGGGATGGATCCTAGATATGAAAATGTTTTTTGACCTGCCAAAAGCCTACAGTACTTAAACAAATATACAGTATATCCGTGGTATTAAAATTTTATGGGAGAAAGGGCAATTAGGCGAAAAATTATCTTAAAAAACTCCTTAGAGGGTGGTCATAAAAAAGAGGTCGAGAATACACTTCTAAAGGTAATCAATTGGAAATTAATTGTTGGTGACTTCATTATAAGGACCTTGCAGAATGGCCTGGATGTGGCACAACTAGCAAGGGTTCCTAGTTTTTGAGTGAAAACCGATGAGTTACATGAACATCTAGTGAATTCATCTCAAGAACTGATAGCCAAGCAAGAATTCTAAGAAAGTTATATTAATTTTGATTGGCCAAAAATATGATGTAGACTTCTTTTTCAAGAAAAGCACTAGACTCTGAGGTTGAAGGATATTTACTATTTTCCTCTCAGCATCCCCCTGCCTCCTCTAATATTACACAAATTCTCCCCGTAGCTACGTGGTTTGGGTGACTTTGTCCCCAGCACCACCTTCACTTCTGTCCCCAAAATGGGCCCCAACCACCACTGCAGACCCCACACATAGCTCTTCCACATTTCCATGCCTTTTCTCTCCAGTTGAATGACCCTGTGCCCTACTTCCCAGAAATCTGATTCCTGCTGATCTTCTGTATGCATATGGATGAATAAAGTGTTCCTCCCAGGCAACAGTAACACATTTTGCCAGTAGCTCCCATTAATGGTGGTTAGACTCCAAGGAGGGTCCGCGGCAGGCAGTCTAGCAGAACATGGAATGAGCAGGACTGACTCTCTACAGAGCACAGCTGTGACTCCCAGCTGCTACACTTGACAGTCAGTGACCGGGGCGGGTGAGTTACTTCCCCTCTTCAAGCCTCAATTTTTCCATCTGTAAATTGGGATAAACACAGTGTCTTGTCATCAATTTAAGTGTAATGTTAAAAGTGAAGCTCTGGGGGTGCCTGGGTGGCTCAGTCGGTTGAGTGTCTGACTTTTGGTTTCGGCTCAGGTCATGATCTCGGGGTTGTGAGACTGAGCCCCACGTCAGGCTCCATGCTTGGGATTCTCTGTCTCTCCCCGCGCCCCGCCCCCCCCGGGTGTGCTTGCTCTCTTGCTCTCAAATAAGTAAATAAATCTTTTAAAAAAAGAAAAACTAAAGCTCTGTTCCTGGCATATGGTACATGCTCAATAAATATTAGCTAAAACTAAGTCAATCAATCAATCAGTAACTGTACTTCCAAGCCTAGTTGCCACTCCTAGTTTAAATAAAGTTGCTATCGACCTATGTATTCTTTCTTTAATAATTCATCCCCATCAGAACTGTTCTTCATTGCTGATAATTCATTACCTCCATTTTCATTCATTACCTCTGGTTGCATCTGCCGTCAAGAGTGATAAAGAAAAATATACTCATAGAGATGCCAAGAGAGCTTAAAAATCACTGGAAGATAATCTGTTTCCCATGGCTCTGGGTCCAGACAATCTGTGTGGGTTTTATGTGAATCCAGCCCCTTCCCTTCTGTCTCTCAAACCTCATCATCACCAATTACAGCCACTGCCAATGAAATTCCCAAAGCCATTACAAACATCTCCATCCCCTCATTGCCCAACACAGTCACCAATGTTTGCCTGGAGAACCTGGCATCCAACACTACCATGACCGCCACAGAACACTGTAGTTTCAGAAACGCTTTCTTTGCTGGGGGCAGCAAGCTTTGATTTGCAAAGGACTCAGGATTTAGAACTCTATATTTAGGGATTAAAAAATTCTTTTTTACTACTTCTGTCCCCGCCATATAAAAAACCCTCAAAATTACAAACCAAAAGCTTTTGGATGATACGCACTTAGAATCACATCCTAAAGTAATGACAATTTGATTCAAAATTACTCTCAGAAAACCCAAGGCTTTCTTTTAGTAGCTCTTTTTCTTGTCTGTGTCCTTCCCCAAATATAAGTAAATTCATGTTCTAACTCGGAACTTTGGGAAAAAAAGGCACACTTTTTTGACTATTGGTTCCCATGGCTGGTGAGTTATGCTTCACTATTGCAGATACACACAGACTCAGGATATAATTGTTATGAACAGAATGGAACAATGGACTTTGGTCTTTAAATAAAATATAGTAGCCCTAGGCTGTGTATGTGTGTATTTTCCTACAATCATACCCATTTTTCATAATTACTCATAATTCCTTAGAAAAAAGAGCAGCTAGCACTGTTGAGAGGAAAAAGATATTTTAACTTTCTAGAATAATGCCTACCAATAACATTTACCACTTATTAAACATTTGCTGTATTCAGACTTCATGCTACATAGTTGACACATATTAACATCTTAGTACTCATTAATAATAACCAAGGGTGTGGACATTTGTAGTGACATCTGCTACTTTTAACTGCCCACCATCCACGCTCCTTCAGGGAATAGCATTGCTTTAGGAAGGTCTATTCTTATAGTTATGCTGGGAATGCTTATCAAGGTGCTTTCTCTGTCATCCTCATATTACTCTTCTTCCCAATGACTGTCTAAAGCTGTCATAATTCTCAATGACTAAGCTTAAAGTGTTTACATATTATGGCTCCCATACGTCAAATACCCACATTACCTTTAAGTCCATCAAGAAAGAATAGAAGGTCTGTGACTACCTCCAAACCAAACAGTTTGATCATGGCTGGACTACTAGATCCATCCACCATTTGTGATATAGTTTATGGGACTATATCATCACGGTGCTTTGTTCATCTTTCATTCATTCCTTTATTACTTGAATAAATATTTACTGAACACCTATGTGTCAAGCACTGTAGCCATTATGAAGGATACAGTGACAGATAAACAACAGTTCTGCTGTTCTGGGAATTCACTGTCTCTGAAGAGAGGGCCAAGTAAACAGGCAAACTTGACATAGTAAACCGAATGCTATGACAAGAGTAAGCATAAGGTGCTAAGGGAGCAAGCAGCAGGGGAGCAGAGAAAGCTCCTGG